CAGAGAAGATGGGTTCTTTAGTGCACGAGCTGGTAGCACTCGACAAGACAGCCGACATCTCCGCCCTTCCAGAGGCCTCCAGATTTGTAACAGTGCCCACTGAACAAGAAATTCACTCTTTCGCCAAGTTGCCCAAAAAAAGCAGTTTCCACGCCCAAACGAACTTTTCATAAACGCCCATTTTTTTTTCGCATTGTCACATCCTCGAGAGTTTCACTTCTTCCTTTTTGAACGCCAGTTTCAACGTTACAGATAATGTCACGAAAAAAAAATTTTCCTTCGTTACGAAGATGCATATTTTTTGTCCGCGAAATAGCGGTCGTTCAAAATGAAAAATCGGTGGCCTCGCCAACTCGCCGCGTTCCAGTGATCACCATTACGGAATAATCGATCGACCACCTATCGAGCCTGTGCCTAATCCATCATTACGTTTCCTCGACTCCAAGTAGAGCTCTCAATAATCGAATTCCTTCGAACTCGGCCAATACCTATCGCATCTAGACATTAGGTGTGGGTGAGCGTGCAGCCCTGAGGGTTTGGATTGATTCACCTCCTAGAGCATATCTAGCGAATGGCTCCACACGAGCTAATCGCTTCGCGGATATCAGCTAATCCCCCCCAATTAGGCTGAATGGTTGGATTAAGGCGGTTTACACGCATACCTTTATCATTAGGTAATCAGTCCAGTGGAATACGGGATAAGACACGACAACCACACAAGAATTCACCATTTCCTGATTATCCGGAGCCCCCCAACGCGTTTAAATTAATAATTAAGCCCTCTGAGGTCAGCCATAACGCTCACGGCCGATAAGAGGCCTTCTAATTTTACGACATCTGAAATTCATAATCCCCCGGCGCCCCATCGATTAACCGATAACTCAGAATAATCCTGACGAAATGCTGGGACTTTATCTCCACCACTCAAGGAGGTTATAGTACCTCTGAACATCACCGAGATAACTCTGGAATTTGTCACCTCTCACCTGCCTCAACCTCGGATATCCATAAGCCTTGGGAGTCTATGCAGCCAGTTCACCTTGAACTAGACATCCATAGACCGCGCTCTAGTGCCCAGATAATGCCAAAAATAAACCACACCAAACTGATAATAACTCACATCAGTACACCACTCAACGGCGTCTTCTGGATCTTCTTATGTTGATAAATTTTACTTTTTCTCTTCTAAATATTTTCAACTGAATCTTAAAAGAACTGCGTGAATCACCTCCTTGGCTACCCAATAATATCCCTCTAAATACCATTTTTTTTTAACGGTTTCGCATACGCGTGAAGTGTCTTTCACCTTTTATTTATTTCTTATTAATTTGAGTTTAATAAATAGTCTATTTCATCAAATAAGATTAGGCTATTTGAAAATCTTTTGCCCCATAAAAAAAATAAATAAAACATATATTTTTTTTATAAAGTGGACAAATTTGAGATATTCATGGAAATATTTATTCCGAAACAAAAAGCAAAAATTCCTTCGCTCAAATTTCATTAACCACTCCCCCGAGGAAATGGCCTCGACGCGTGGAGGATAAAAAGTCAGTATAACACATGTATGACCCATTGCCATGCCGCCAATTGCGTTTTGCTCTCAGTCCCTCGGACAAGTGTATTTTCCAAACACACAAACCCTCGAGGGGGTGGTTGGGCACTGCCGGCAACAAGTGCGACCATACCGGCCCAGACACACGTCACAGTTGAGGCTTTACCCCCCTTTTATCCCCCATCTGTGTGGTCTCGTCGTACGCTCGTTTTCGTTCACAATCGATATATCGAGCGTGTGTGACGACCACTACAGTCCTCGTTTTATCTGTCCTCTTTGCTCCCTCACCGGCCCGTCAACGACTAGTCCTGACTAGAGCTGGGGATCGAAGGGGAAAGTGAGAGAGAAGGCGCATCGAGTCGGACGTCAGCCTTACGTGGTTTGCGGTAGGCCATGAACGTGTACCTTCCCCCCAGTTGAGAGTTTTTCCACCCTCTCGAGAGGGTCACTCTATTGCCGGATATATAGCACAGTTGCTGTCAAATTTATCCCGAGGCTTAGGTGGCATTTTTTGTCACTAGGCCGTTACGAACTTTTCTGGCGAGTTTACAGTTCGAGGCAAATCCGAGCAATGTACACAATCGCCAGAAATAGTATTTTTCACGCCTATTAAAAAAAAAAAACACGGAAAAAGCACGGAAAAAGTGAATCTGACGAATGCGACTTTATAGTCCGAGTTGAAGGCGAGGATTATAACGCGCATGAGTCAGAACCACTGTTTTCGCCGTGACTATGATGCTATTTTATGTCATTGTGGCCGAAAACGCCGAAATTCTTTTCGGTTGAGTGACGAATTAGTATATTGTGCCTCTAGGGAGTAAAGTATTTTATTTCCGTGTGGCAGACGATATTTTATTCTCGTAGGGACTGGGAACTGCGATCTATAATATAATCGTACTTTCTAGTCCCTAGGTGAATAAAATATTTTTTGTCATTCCGCAGGCCGGGTTTTACCTCCAAAACGGAATTGATCTCTGGGTAACGAATGATATTATTTTTTTTTAATTAAAGATAAAGTATTTTTGTACAATAGATATTATTTTGATTACTGCAATATTAAAAGTTAATTAGATTTATGACATTTTCATTGTGAGCTGCAAAAATATTATCTAGAAATCTCAGATAGGAAATAATTCGACCTGAATCACAAATTTTATATATTGAAGGAGAGGATATGGATATTGTATCGTGCGAAAATTTGCGATTATACATTAATTATTTTTTTTTTCTAGATTTCATTCTGAAAATATCGACATATAACTGATTATCTGATGATTTTTGTTCTATAATGGAGTTAAAGATACCAAATAATAATTGGCGAATGCTTCGCTTGTAAAGTCCATATTATGAAACCAGAGACACATAAATGAAGTTCGCCCAAATCGAAATATCTCGAAGCTTATAAGACTGAGACTGAGATTCCCTATTGGTCAATTTGTACTGAGAAAATTAGAACTCCTCACACGGACCTCGCAGTAGATCTCGTTGAACCAAAAATAAATTTTCAAAACTAAAAATTCCTCTAAACGGAATCGACGAGTCATAGCAAAGTGACATTGATTAAAATTCAATGCCACGCATATTATAATGACAAAATGATATCCACGTTATATATCTTTGAGGAATACCAAGTGCATTTCTTTTGATGAGAAAATCTTTATGAAGAAGAGAACAGGTGTCTTGTTCCGAAAGTATTAAAAGAATGTCCAACATGGTGGAAAAAAAGCTCTTAAAAGGTTGTGCAAAGTTTTTTTGACCCTAAGAAATCTTTTCTTTCGCCTTGACGCGGCCAGCGGCATCTTGGTGTAGCAATGTTTTAGCGTATTGATCCAACGGGGGGGGAATTTAGTTGAGTGGTAAGGGTGTGGGAGTATAAAAGCCCAGGGTGCTGGAGGAACGGAGGTAGGGAAAAAAGAGCTGGAGTAAGATGGTCGGGCGTTGGGGAGGGCGAGAGTAAAAACTGGACGGCGCCACTTACCCGCTCATAATCGCTCCTCCAACCCTCACCGACCCTTTCCTCATCGCCCTCCATCAACTCCCTTGCGGCTGTAGTGCACTTCCACTCGACATCGCACACTAATTCTCATTTCACTACACCGATAACGGATTCCTCAATACAGCGAGCATTTACCACGTGACCAGAGGCACGTGTTACTCACACAGAGTGGCTTCATCAGAAGCCAACAATATTTTTCAAACAGCTCTTCCGTAAATTTCCAATTCCCCTGATTTTCGCAGTTTAAAATATTTAAAAAAGTAATAAAAAAGAATTTTTCAATCCGACTCGTTTGGATTGAAAAAAAATTAAATTATTGATGACTCGAATGATTTATGACGGGGGAAAAAATGGTCGTGTACCACCGTTTGAATGTTTCTATTTCCCGGTATATTGGTGTTAATACTTGAATTCAATTACCACCGATAATTAACGGCTTCGCAGTGTTAAGAATCGTTCTTGATGGCTTCAAAATTCAATATTCGTTAACTTTCCCTCAGTGGGTCGCGTGTCGTGTTGCTCGCACATACACAACTACGCTCTAAATAGCGACTAAAGGTTCTTCATAAATGCCGCAATACGAGTACATAAGGGTACAAAGCGGAAAATAATCGTACGGCTTGGTAGTGTCACGCGGGTGAAATCGACGGATAAAAGTGTACGGGGAAATAGTGTAAAACCTTTTGTTTCGATTATTACTTTGGGCACTGGACAAATGTAGAGAATAACGAGGGAGGGAAGAGAAAATGAAAGGAAGTAAATGCAAGTGGACTGAGAAGACAGTGCACCCCTCCTTACGTATGCACACCCCGTCGAATAATTGCAGTCCTCTCTCCTCAAATTATCCCGTTGTTTCCGCATTGGTTGAAGTATGAAATATACCATAATACTTGGTCTACTGGCTCTAGATCTATAGCGTGAGCTCTTGTATACGTATCACTATACGTATAGCGTTTCATTAATGTGGGGTAATAGATGTGAAAGTTTAGACTCCATTTATTGTCTTCGCCGTTCAACAATTCGCAATCGAAAAATCAACAAAGCATTCATTATTTATCATTCCGTTATCCGTTGGGAAAACAAAAATTAAAACTAAAGTGGAAACAAACTCCTGGGAGAAATTATTCTCTTCTAATAGTTCAAAAATTATGTGCAATAACAATTTCAATGAATCTACAAAAAATAGTGGCAAATTCGCTGTTTATTTGACCTCATAGTAAAGTAAAGAAACTATTTTCTAGAAATACTGAGATTATTCTTCAGTATTTAATAAAATTTTTACTAGCAATGCATAAGTTATTTATTTGATAAAATCAAATCGTTTTTCTTGAGACAAGTAAACAAGTTTATTGCTCATCACTGATAACATTCTCGAAACATATTGAAAAAATTACCACCACTTGTCCCATAAATATCCATCAACAATTTTAATCAAACTTTCTGTTCCAGAAAATTTCTCTAGTTCTATGCCATCCAACCTGATCGGTAAGCGCCAACAAAATAATTAACCTCAATGACCGATCATCACCCATTAATATGAATATAAATATTGAATTTAACGACGTTGAAGCCTGAACGTTGATGGTGCGAATTACGAGAAAATCCAGCAAGTACTTTACTCTCACGAAAGCACTGTGGAACACGCGTTATAAATGCCCATAAAAATTCCAACAAGTCCTCCAGTACAGAGGTAAACGCACAGACCCCTTCAACCCTCTCACCGAAAGAGTTTGGTCGGTATGACACCTATCTCTCTCCCCTGGCGGTTTTATCTCGCCCCACACATTGACTTTGCCGGAGGGACATAACTTGACACGTCGTCGACTTGAGCTCGTGCTCACGAGACACTCGGCATAACCCAACACCGTCATGGTGGTCAAGTACATACAACTCCACTGAATGCTCGTGTGACTCCGCCATTGCCAGCGCCGATTACTTACTCCTCTCCAGCGAATTAACGACGAATAACTGGAGAGAGAGAAAACCGGTTGTCCCACCGTACGTAGTACGCAGCTAACGACCTTTTTCCGTTTCACCCCTCGTCCACACTTTTCTTTTTATCACCTTCTTATTTTTCCCATACTTTTCCCCACTCAGCATTACCATCATATACCAGAGCCCGAGTACATGCACTCTCTCACTTGTACCGAGCAAACGAGAAATACGACGGGAATTAATCGAAGCACTGGGGCCCACAATCCACCCTGATAAAGTGAATCGTCTTCAAACCACTCTATCTGCCTTTACCCTTTTCGAAAAACTTATTCAACGAGTCACCTGGTATCGTGGATCTGACCGAAGGGAGCAAAGAAAAAAACAATAACCCCCGAAGTTTATCTTTATCGCTCGAAATTACGTTGCTCGATATTCTGAGATGGTTTACATATATATCGATACAGCCAGCCGATATCACTACTTCATGACCTGCAAAATTGTATCATCATAAGAGCAGAGAGGAAAGTGAAAATTGAATAATGCGAAATGGAATTTCCGGGGGGGGGGGGGGGGGGGGGAGTAGGAGGAAGAGTTCAATCGATATATTGAGTAGAGTATGGGCTAAAAAAGGGATGACTATTCTGTATCGGCGGGAATCACCATTTTTTTTTGTGAATTAGTCCGAAAAATTGTGCTAGTATTTATATCGTTGGAAATGCACGTATTTCGTATGAATGACGGAGGGTATCCTCAATGCAGACGTATTGTTTCGCAGACGGAAGCCATTTTTTTATTGCAGGTCACTTCCGCTCTTGTCACTTGACACACGGATGCACCGATTCGTTCTAGATGTTGAGGGACTCGCACATGTGCCACGCGTAGTATTTCTTGATTACAGTGGGATTAACTAGTGGCCAATTATCCAAGAGCAATCCGTTTCTCTTTTTGACTTGCGTAAAAAATACCTCAACTCGTGTCCCTCCTTTTTCCACCGACTCCTTCCTAAAATTTTCTGTGAGTATAATTAAAACGGATGAATTCTTAATGAACCGAATAATTAACTCGGCGATTAATAATAATTCCCCGAATTTTTATCGCGTGCTTTGTCAACTCGAAAGGAATAATATAAATACCACTGCGTTTATAAACACGCGATCTAATCCCGGGTCGGCTGGCATCGTGGGTAATTAGGGAGCGGCGTTAATTCTTCCGAAAGAAACACAAACCAAAGAGGAAAAAAAAAAAAATCAAGAACCTAAAGGGGGAAAAAATTGGAATACATTTGACAGTCGGGGGAGCGGGAAAAAATGGGGGAGTGATTGCATCGACGCAAACGTATGTCCACACGCGAGTGAGAGAGAAGCCGACGAAACAATGAAAAAAAAAGAAAAAGACAAAAAAAACCCTACGGCAGACATAAAATATGTATAAAAGAGTGAGAACGTAATCAGAGTGGGTTTTCGCCCGGTTGGGTGATCCTGATTGCGTCCCCCGTATTCCGGTAATTATTATAATTGCTCCCGCGCCCAAATCGACGCTCCTACAGGCCATTGAAACATTGTGGAAAGCCTTTCAAACATAAATTCGTGAATGCAACGAGGGATAGAAAAAAAAAAACCACAAGGCAAATTGTTTATCGATTATCATCGCTGCAATTACCCTCCCACAATTTTCTATTTTTAAAACACACTTTTCCAGTGGAAAGGGACAGTGGCTCCATTATGTCTCTCCCCCGGCGTGGTATTCCCATAGAATGACCGTAGAAATAGTTAAGAGTCGAGGGTGAGGAGAAATCATCGGCAATGATAGTAGGGAGTGAGCCCCACGCATAAATTCAACTGCAAAACTCCATTCCCCGGTTATTTTTTCATTCCACCCTCTGTCACTCACCCCACATTTATCGCAAATGCATAACGACAAATAAATGATGTGGGTTGGAGTTGAAAGAATAAAAAGGATAGAAATGGAATGAAAAGCAAGTGCATCGTCTTGTCCTCACCATTAATTTGAAAATTAACCACCCCGTTGTGAAACATCAGCGGCGGCCATTGAACATGTGGTTGGTGTATCAGCTTGTCCATATCCAACTTCACCATCCCTTACATTCGCCCTCTCTTAACAAGACACATTATAAGTTTTTTCCCGGGGGTTCATTCCACTAGCGATAGCGAGCTACATGTCCTCTCTCTTTTCCCTTCAGCCCCTCATTCTTCTCCCGGGTTTGTCTGATGTAACCAGCCCTCTCTGTTTCTCTCACTCCGGAGGTTAGTGGCCGGTGAGTACCACCACAAGTGAAGCAACCCCATCAGTGCCGTCCAGCATTGAAGTAAGAGTGGTTAAGAGTTCCGGGGGGTGAGGGGGGTCAGCGTCTCTATGGTTAATTAAACGCATAGATCACCCCCACCAGTGACCCCCAGGCGATTCAGGCCAGCCACCTTTCTTAACCCCCCCTCCCCCCTCCCCCAAGACCCAACCCACCACCCACTTCCACCAAAGCACCGGCATGTGTTCCTCAAGCTCCACCTCAGTCCCGTACCCAAAATCCGCATCGCCACCACCAGAATTTCACCAGAAAAAATCATACACTCTAATATCGTTAATTGTTTCCTCGACACAAATGAACATTTATTTCATACTAGTAATTAACGCATTGACCTTGATTGACGGAGGACTGATTTAAAAATATTCATCATGCCTCCCCAAGTAGGTTTTGCCAAATGTGGTTCTTTGAGCCAGGAGTTTGATTGAATCCTGGCATATATGTAATGTAATGGGCTCGTTATACTTGGGCCAACGCCTGGCCCTAAATTGGCTGGTTAATAATTAGGTCATTAATTAATAGCCGAATCTCGGCTGAGTACTGACGAGCCAAGACCTGGTATCCCTATTTCGGGTTCAACGCTTGGCTGAGGGTTGGCTGCCAAAAGTTCGTGGAGCATCTCTGGCCCAACAATTTCATTGAGTCAGAATATATCTGGCTAGCCATTACTAGACCAGGCTTGGCAAGAAAAACACAATAATAATAATAATAATTTATTATTGCTATTACTATTATTATTGTTATTTATTTAATTTTATAATAAATAATGGTAATGATGAGAATAAATTTGTTGCAAAAAAAAATTGTGCGTATTTTTTAAAAAGGGGCTAGGAGTTATAGTTATATATACCTTACTGTGGCAAGATTAGAGGGTTACCATTTAGAGGAATTGTTTAACTGAATTGTTTTGATATAACTATATTTTTATACTAAAAAAATTGAAAGACGAGAAAAATTTTGGATAGAGATTTCCATTGGGTGGACAGCGATTTTTCGGTGGGCACCACCAAAATTATTTATTCCTCATGCATCCTCAACAGTTTTTTCCTCCAATGTCGAGGTTTAACTTAACGATACATGTTTACAGCCACATCATTCATATTCTCATTTTATCGACTCCACCCGTAAACAACACTCAAATATATAAGATGCACTTTGGTGGAAGGGTTGGGACACACGCGTACTGCCCAGCCAATAATAATTTAACCGGCTGCAGCTTATAAACGCTCAATATTTTATTTCAACCAAGGAGAATAACGCCAGTTATTCCAAAGACTCCCTTGTATAATACTGTTCATTTCTCCACCGCCCACGTGTCGTTTTTTACTGAGAATATGCGGAGTGGAGAGAGAATGCGCGAGACCGGTGTATTTGTAAATAAGAGGGAAAGGATATACCGGTTTCTCATCCCAAGAGAAAGAAGGCGTGACCCCAGCGACACGGTTACAACTACTGTCTGGTGATTATTCCATTTGAAAATCAAATTGATTTCGATTTTATAGAAGAAATACAGATATACATGGATTACAAATTCTTGGGGCTGATCAATTCGTATCTGGAATTGATATGAAAAGATGATGATGTTGAATATCGATCAGTAGAAAAAAGGAAAGAAAAAATACATAACAGACATGACAAATACTTGTGGAATAATTTCTGAGATGGAAACTATACCGTGAACAATACTTTTGCAAACAATAGCTAAATTTTTCCCTGAAAAGGCTATAGTTGAACACGGGCTATCCAAGACGTGACGGCACTGGATTTTCCCCACATACTTACCCCAAACGTAGATAGGATATTCTTATGAATCGATGAAAGACGGTAGAGCATGCGCGGAAGAATCTTAATAACTCATACGATATACCACCCCCGGTCCATCCCTGTCCTCGTATGGCCTCTCCATATACATGCTCCTTGGGCAGCAGCTCGTGAAGACGTTCTCCGCAATATGCACGGTGGCATTCGAAATGACAGTTTCCTCCTCACTCCGACATTCCGCGCATATATTTTCATCCCTCCTCCTGCTCCACCCCAACACCACGACACTGTCCATTTATATTTCCATTTCAGAGAGCTCTCAACACCTGACACCCCCGACATCTTGATAGCCCTCTCGTGTTTTAATTAAGCCCCGTGAGTTATTCACTAATTTTTTAAACAGCAGGTGAATTGAGATCGAGTAATTAATTCCCCTTGGGGATTCCAATTTTCGGGGCCCATGTGGGCT